TTCTTTTTCTAAAAGTATATTACTTCTTTTTAGTCTCTTAACCCTCTTCTTTTCCCTTAAGGAGTCTAGATTCCTTAGTTATATTAGTTAAGTTATTACTAAAGGTAGTAATATCCCTTATTATAATAAATAACTCTCCCTTATATACCTTTTATACTTTTATATTATTAGATAATATAAATATTATTATAATTAAGGGTTAATAGTTTTATTAAGACTTTAATAGTTAAAGTAAGGGTAGTGTTTTTTTAAGTAATTTTAATAACTTTAGTTAGTTATATTTTACTAAAAAGATTATAAAAGTAGATAGTAACCTTATCTTTTATCTTTATAGTTATTAGTTTCTTAATCTATAATTTCTTAATATTACTTAGGTTAATAATACCTTAATCCTTACCTATTTATCTTATCTTAATATAATATACTTTATTATTATAGCTTATTATAGACTATTTACCTAGTATTTTAATATTATAAGTTAATATAGGCTTTATTAAGGTTATAATTATAAGTATTTAGAGTAATATATTTAGGTTCTTAAGATAAAGGTAGTTTATTATAAGATATTATCTTTATACTAGTTACTTTATATTTTATTATAAAAGCTAGGCTTTTATAATTTACTTACTTTATAATCCCTAATATATCTCTAATTTCCTTATAAAAGAATACCTTAGTCTTTTCTTAATCTTTACTTATTAGCTTACCTTATTTCCTAATTCCTAATAAATCTATAAGTTAATAACCTAGTACTTTAGTACTAGTAGATAATTTAGGTATAACTTACTTATAGTACTTTTAATTAGTATATAAAGATTATACTAGCCTAAGGTAAGAGAAGTACTCTTAGTACTAAGATAGTCTTTTATCTTCTTATATTTTATTATAAAGTAATTTAACCCTTTATAGTTACTAGTATCTTAATTATAGGTATCCTAGTTCTTTTATAGATATTACTTTAATCTTTACCTAGCCTTATATTTCCTAGGTTATAGCTTATTTCTTAAACTAAAGTCTTTTATAGGTTATTAGCTTATTTTTCTTTTAATTTATATCTTAGTTTAGTAATAAAACTTTCTTAAGGTTATTTAATTAAATTAATTAAATAAGCTTAAGATAAACTATCTTTAGATTCTTCTTCTTATTAAGCTTTTTAGCTTCTTTAATAGATTTTAGGTTTTTATTATAATAACTTACTAGTACTTTTACTTATAATTAAGAATATCTTAATTATTAATTAAGGTTTCTCCTTACTATAACCTTTATTATAACTATATTTACCTTATTAAAGATAAAGAGTATTATAATAAGGCTATTAATATCTTATAAGATTTTATTAAGTAATATAGCCTTAACTATTATAAAGTAGATTCTCTAGGAGAAGGACGTCTTTAGCCTAAAGGTAGTCTTAACTTAATACTTATCTTTAATATAGTCTTTTACTTTTTAATAAAAAAATAAGATAATATCCTTAGATAAGAGATAATATATAATTATTATAATATTAACCTAAATAGCTTTATTTACTATAGTTATAGTTTCTTATAGTATTTAGTCTTTAATTTCTTATAAGTAGTCTCTTACCTTAATAACTAGTTCCCTCCTATAATAGGTAGGTACTAAGACTATCTTAAAAGCGCCTAGGCTCTAAGCTATAACTACCTTAGTATAAGATCTTACCTAGGTAAGAAGGGCCTAGGGTTCC